TTTATGGAGCTCTTACCATGTGCCAGGCATTGTTCTCTACCTTTGTTAACTCACCAGGCCCTCACAGCTCCCTCTGAGGTAGGTATTCTTATCAGCTCCATGCGTACGTGATGACACGGAAGCACAGGGTTCTATCAATAACTTGTTTTATTTTCTTCATTACACTTACTGTGATTTGTAGTTGTCTTGCTCTCTTGAAGAAGGGGCCTTATCTTATTTTCTGCTGTTTCTGCAGCTTTTAAAAAAAATGGCGGACCCATACTAGGCACTTCCATTCAGCTTATGTTGATCGTGTGTTATGTATTGAATGAGTGAATGAACCAGTGAACAATGGGTCTTATTGATTTGGTCATGATATTTGTGATGAGAAATGGAAAATTTCAGAGATGATGATTGTGTTGTCATTGTATGAAAGGACTACAAGCCTTTCACTGAAATAACTGTTGGGCATTTTTCTTCCCTGTTACATTATACTGTGTGCATATAAACATGTGATCATGCGTGTAGGCAGAGGAAGACAGAAGGATACATGTCAACATACTCAGTAACCCAGTAGCCACAGGTCAGCAGAAGGGTGCCAAGTACAGTAGTTGCTGGCAACAGATTATACTCATTACTTAACCTCTTCAAATACGGCGACTTAGCCATGATCCCGAACCACCATTTGACTTTGTGACAGTTCTGGCTGTAGATTATGTCAGGCAGCTGTTGCTGTGAAACATCTGGCTCAAGTTGGGCAATTTTGTTTTGTTTTTACCTGTTTTTCTGAACAAATGAACTGTGGACTTTTTTTCTTCCCGGTGCCCAGCGGATACTAATTTCACAGAACTTGGGAGCTGAAAGAGAAAGTCAGATTATTAACCTGACTTCCTCATTTTACAAGAGACGAGAAGAATCCCCAGGGAGTAGGTGGTTTGCACAGGGTCACGTAAAGAATCAGGGGAAGAACCAGAGCTGGCCGCACAGCCAGTAAGAGGGCTCAACGATCAAACATTGCTAGGGGAAGATGAACACATGTTCACTTCACAGTCCTGATTAGGTCGCTGACCCTTCACGATCCTACATTTTCTCGGTAAAGAAAATTATTGCTGGGAGCTGAAGTGGCCACCAGGAGGATGTTGCCTATCTATCCTTATTTAGTACTGCAAAGTAGTATCTTCTTGTAGCACGTTCAGTAGCTAAGACCCTTTGCATGACTTAAGGACAAGGAAGGCTCTGAATTCTAGGAAGACTCCACAGGAACTGTTGAGGGATTATGGCCTCTGTCCTTCACTTTGCATTCTGTGAGGGGCTGACGCAAAACCTGATTCGGTTCTCAGGAGTCCTTAGAAGTCAAGACAGGTGGATTAAGAGCTACTAGTGAATAGGAATGAGTTATGTGAACAAGCCCTCTAAATTATTAAACTAATCCCAAGAGTCATAGCTTCCCTCTTTAAAACAAAGGACAGAATATGTATGAGATAGAATGACAACTGTACCATCTTAGTTTTACCTTCTTTGGGGCAGAGTGGTGGGGGATTCTCCCCCCCAATTACCATCGCCACCACTATACATCAATATCTCAGTGGATCATAGAGCTCATATTTCTGTGATCATTATAGCTGTTGAGGGCGTCAACTTGTAGAGGATATTTAAAGAAGAAAAAAAGCATAAAAATAGAGTTGTATGTTACACACTGAGTGGCTGTCAAGTCGAAAGTTGGTAATGTACTTTTACCTCTAACCCAGAAGTGTAAGATCAAGATTGCTACCCGCCTCCCTCAGTGTGTTGGTTCATTCATTCCAATAAAAGAGCCTTATTTCTTCTCCTACACAGAGGGAGTCTGGAATAATATGTTACCATATGTCCAGAGCTAACCTGCCTATTTCTATAATGTAAGGTAAAGAGTTCATTGAAGAGTCTAATGATAAAGTTACAAACTCTCACATTCCAAATTAGTAAGCATGCCAGTGTTTTTCCCCAGATGACTTCATGGAATAGCCCTGAGGTTCTCTGAGGTTGGGTGCATTCACTCAGGTATTCCTGGGGATCTCTGAGGTTGCTTACAGCTGTCTGCTAGGAGCAAACATGGAATCGGATGCATACACAAGGTGGGCCCTGCAACTGCTGGCCTTCAGACATCCCGGGAGTGGACCTCAGGTGCCTGGGGGTCTCTGTGTCGCTGCTGGTGAAGGAGTCTGTGTGGCTGAGCTCGCTGGAGCTCAGAGGACACAGGGCAAGGGTGACCACCATCTCTCATTGTCTGAGTGCCTCACCTCCTGCTTTTGGTGCAGATTTCTCTCCTGTACTACTACACCTGCTCAGGGTGTCCCACTGCCTGAGCCCCAAGCGTTCTGCACCATACACTCAGCCTCACGTGGACTGTCTTTCCAAGGTGTTTCCATAGTGCCTGGGTGAGGAAGGCCTACAGCATCAGCAGTGTTCTGTGCCTAGGACCATCCATCCACTCTACTGGCCCTACTCTTGAGAATAGGTCATCAGCCTAGACTTTCCTCCTCATTTTGGTGTGTTTTTCCTTAGAGGTCCCTTATTATCAGTCCTTAGTCGGGGCCCTACTAGTCCATTAAGATTGTTTAATTACTCTGAGTCCTATTTAAGGGAAGGGGTTAATTCCAATCCCTTTGTCCCAGGAGAGTTTTATGCTCCACAGAAATTCTTGAATACCGATTAATATGAGGGGGAGATGTGATGTCCAACTCCACTTGGTGACATTTGAGACCCCAGTATAAATGGATATGTCAGGGGAGGCATGACACCTAACTCCTCAGCTAGGAACACCCAAGGGCAAGGCCCTCAACAGTCCAGTTACATAAAGTAAGTATAACCTGAGGACATCAGTTCAGAGCAGAGTAGAGAGCTGGTATTCCTCAGGCGGTCTTTCCAGCCAAGATGCCAGAAACAGGGCACTATGATCTTTATGCTGTCATTCAGGAAAATCTAATAAAACATGTTTAAGAATTTTTAAGGTTGACATGCCTCTCTCTGTTTGATAGTCCATGTTGGTCTGTTTGGGCTGCTATAACAAAACTCCATCGACGGAATGGCTTATGAGCAAACAGAAATTAATTTTTTAAGGTTCTGGTGGCTGGGGAGTCCAAGATCAAAGCGCCAGCAGATCCGGTGTCTAGTGAGGGTCCATCTCCTAGTTCGAAGACGGTCATCTTCTCGCTGTGTCCTCACATGGTGGAAGGGGTGGAGGAACTCTCTAGGGTCCCTTTTACAAAGGCACTAATCCCATTCATGAGGGCTCAACCCTTATGTCCTAATCACCTCCTAAAAGCCTCACCTCCTAATACCTTCACATTGATGGATAGGATTTCAATATGAATTTTGGAGGGGACACAAACATATAGTTTATAGCCATATATATATGTGAAATTCTGATTATATAAAACCAGGGGTGGGCGGGGGGGAGCTTGTGTTGTATCTAAAACACTATGTAGTGAAAGATGATTACTAACCACGTGACCATGGGCAAAGCTGCTAATGTGTATAAAACTCTAAAATGACTATCACAGTGCTTAGTGTGGAGCCACGCGCTCTCCAGAGTGATGAGTATAAAATGTGACTCTCACTTGACCTGTCTACCTAGAAAGCTTTCAGTGGCTTACTGCCAACCAGAGGATGCGATTCAGACTTCTTTACAAGCATGAGAGGTTCTCCGAGATCCAGCCTGTGTGCTTTTCAGCACCATATCTCACCTGTCTTTACCTTTTCTTTTGTCTCTGCTTCGGCATTATTTCCCTGTTTGCACTCCCCTGCACACACTAACTACTCTGTTCCCTACCCCTGTGGTCCCACTCCCCACCTTTGGAGAAAGCCTAAATGATTTTCTGGTTTCATATAGCAACAAAACCCCACAGGCAAGCTTTTCTTGTACAGTTTGTTACCAGCTCTTGGCTGTCTTTAGTATCCTTATCAGTGGGGGGAGAACATTTGCTTGCCCTCAAAAAAAGAAAAATGGCCAAATAACCACCCCTTTCTTTGTCAATTGGTATTTGTTTATTTGGTCAACATTTACTGAGTACGTGCTGCTTGTTGTATTGGTGTTAGAAAGATGAGTAATACATCATCGATAGCCCCAGGGAGTTCCCATTCTGGCCAGGGGAGGCTGACGGCACAATACCTTCTGGAAAGTGTTTTGCTGGGGACTGGGGAAGCCCAGGGAAGGTTTACTGTTAGCCAAAAAAGAAGAAAAATGGGTATTTCAGATAGAGTACTGTTGGTAACCCTTTCTAGGAAGTGAGTCTCATTTTAGTCTCACAAAAAGGTAAAATAAGCAGTTTTTGTTTTGTTTTTCTGTTTCTCTAGAACTTGTTATGTGTTTTTAAAAGTGTTGTTGCCTCTGCAATATGGTGTTACCCAGTTGAAATTGCCTGAATCTACTGCATTATTACAATGATTGTAAGATGATTTGAAATGATCATAAGAAATTTAAAATTTGTTTGTAAACATAAATTCTACTTAGAGGAAGATTAAGGTGATGTTAGTGAGTTAGATAATTGTGGCGGTTGCCTATTTAAACCTTAATGTTTATCTTTTTTCTGTCTACGCCCAGAAAGGAAAAAAAAAACACAAAAAACCAAAAGCATTAAATATATATGCTCGAATTCATAAATTTATTTTAAATTACTTCTTGTTAATCTCATCTAAAACTAATGTAAATCAGTTTAAATTTTTTTGTTACTTTTGGACATATTCTTATGTGGTGGGGAGAAATAAGTTAAACATATATGGGAGAAAGATGAGCAAAAATTGAAAATTGATATTGCTGTTTTTGAAATGGGTTTGTTTTACGTGACTATTAAATGCTGCCTTTTAAATTGAGTAGAAATGTTAGATGTGGGCATTTTTCTTTAAAAGAAACAAGAACACAAATAAGGAGATGCATGTCGCTTATAACAGACTTTTAGATTCTGGAATAGTTATGAAATGTGTTTTTGGTCTGGATAATACAATGAAACATTTCTTATCCAGTTAAAAGACTGTCTCCCTTTAAGGTTATGAGAAGACTGATGATGTTTCTGAGAAGACATCACTGGCTGACCAGGAAGAAATACGGACTATATTCATCAACCAGCCCCAGCTGACAAAATTCTGCAATAACCACGTCAGGTAGGAACTACTAAAAGAATGCTGTGCGACCAGCGATCCCCAAACGAAAATGCTTGCAAAGAGCTTTCAGTTAAATCCGTTAATATTTGAGAGCTTACAGGAGGTTGTTGAATCGGCTGTTTCTCCATCTTCCAGCCAATGAGATGTTAATAAGAACCTGAAAGCAGGAAGAAGCAGAAGGAATAAAGCCATACTCTACCCATTCTGTGTATGGTTAATGAAAGCTGCTCCTAGACAAATACCTTTGTCTTAAACCTGTTCATAGAATGATAAATTGTTGTTTGGGGTAACAAGTGTTTACATTTTAGAAGGTGTCTTTGCAATTCTTCATGGAGAACTCCTAAAATAGTTAAATAGTCTTTAAATATTGGCTTTTGATAGATGTGAAATTTAGCATGGTATTGAGGAATGGAGGGCTGTGCAAAGTACTTAACTATTAAATTTTCATTCCAACAATGATATAAAAAGCATCTCTGTTATAAATCCCTATTCTCTTAGTGGCCTCGGGAACCGAGGGAGCAATCCCTGTACTAGCCCAGTGTCTCTCCAGTGGCAAGACTCCTAGATTTGAGACATGCCCATTTAGAGTTAATATTTATAACTTCAAATTTTAGAATAACATTTCACAGTCTGGGGTGTGTGGCATGTGTCCCTTTAATTGCCTTTTTCTATAATTAACAAAAGGAAGATTGGGCCTTTCCGAGACCTCAGTGGTGATGTCTGACTGTTTGTGGACATATCTGGTGTGTTTAGAGTGGAGTCCTAGCCAAGTTCGTAGAGGGACTGTGAAATAAAATTCAAACAGGAACCCAGAGACCTCTCCGTTTCTCTCAAGTTATCCAGGAAAGGCATCTCTATTTAAAGTTTCTGGTCCTGCTCAAATTGCTGATTTTTTTTTTTTTTTTACTGCAAGATTTTATTTTCTATTAACATATTATGTACTGTCTTAACTTAAGTTGCTCTTTGTGGGCTACTCTTAGTAGTGTTATACAGGATGATTGGCCAAAGAGAACAAAAGATATGTAGGAACTTAAACTTACTATTTGCTTAGACAGCCCCTTTCACTCCTTTAAATTTAGATCAATGACCATTAGCAATAATCTCCCAAAGTGCAACATGGGCAAATGTTCATCATCTAATTTTTTATATCATGGTAATAGAATTTTGTGACCGTGGCAGCTAATTGCGCTGTCATTAAGTTTTATGTTACTTTCATTTTTGTTTTCTAGCACTGCAAAATACAACATAATCACATTCCTTCCAAGATTTCTCTACTCTCAGTTCAGAAGAGCCGCCAATTCATTTTTTCTCTTTATTGCACTGCTTCAGGTAAAGTCATGATGTAAAACCTTACATCATCACGTGTTCAAATACTAATAAATGTTTTTGTTGAGCCTATGACCAATCTGCAGCTTCTCTGAATGCAGACAAATAAGCTGGTTTGGGGGGATATTTCTGGCTCCTGCTACAAGCAGTATTCAAATTCTACTTCCTCTGTAAGCCTTTTGATTCATTTTTATCAACTTATTCTGTAAATTTGATATGGCAAAGATAATCTTCTTTTGGGTGCTAAAGGGAGATGGGACTTTTTCTTAAAATATCAACTTATTTTTGTTGTAGTAAAGCTGTCAATTCTGAACATTACAAGAATTACCACTTTAAATCTTATTTCTCTTTGTATTTGAGTTAGTTGTAGTTAGAAAAAAAAGTTTCCTATTAAAAAGTAGCATACATTCATTGTAAAAAGGATTAGAACACACAACAAAGCATAAAGAAAAAAATTTTAAACTCCTTATTCCACTACCCAGAGGCAACTACTCTCTTAAAATTTGGGTGTATATTCTTCTGGTCTTTTTTATTTTTTCTCCCAAGCATTGTTTATTGATTTAGTTTACAAAAAGGGGACCATAGAGTACATATGTTTTATAATATGCTTTATCCATATAATAATGTGTGGATATTTTCCCCATGTGTTTCGTTGTGTATCTTACATATCATTTCTAATGGTCGTATGATATTTTAGTATATAGACTGTAATCTTTTAAACCAATCCCCTTTTGCAGGTGTTAGTCCTACATACAACTGTCCCACCATAAAGTTAATTAAAATGCTCTTCCAGATACTTATTAGATATGGGCAAATGACCTCACCCAGTGTTAATCTACCAAGAAAATCAAGGAGGCATATTTTAAGAGGCACTAAGACTTCGTTGTTTTTAAATGTATTAGACACTTGCTAGTTCTCACTGATTTCTGTTCTTTTTTTTCCCCCTTCAAATAGCAAATACCTGATGTATCACCAACAGGTCGCTATACAACCCTGGTTCCTCTCTTATTTATTTTAGCTGTGGCAGCTGTCAAAGAGATAATTGAAGATATTGTAAGTACTTCATTTTTTTCATAAATAAATGTGACTCTTTGTTATTTTTAAATATTAGTTTCATCTTTAAGTTATTTAATTCTTGGCACAGGCTGTTTAAAATGCCCATTCAACTTAAGAGTGTATAGAATATGCTCCCACCCCTAGAGTGAATTCCTGTTGATTTCTATAGGATTAATATTAAAGAATTCTTGTTACAGTGTTCTCTTATGTTTATAGCTTATTAATGAAAGAAATTAATAGGAATGTAAGAATTGGCTTAGAGAGAAAACTATATTTGAACATTATTTTCAGTTATGCTCCGTTTTCAATTTGAACATTATTTCAAGGTAAACACAATTACCTCCAAATTATCTAAATTCAAAGGATTGTTTTTTGTATTTTTAAATTTATATACCATAGGTTTCACCTAATTAAATACCTTTGATTCCTTTTCATCTTATTTTAGTAATTCTAAGTTTCCTTTTCTTTTATCTTAGTAAAGGAAAGTAACAGCAAGTTTGCTATTTTTATTTTTCTGTAGTAGTAGTGAAAAGGGGAAGTCAATTTCCCCTGTATAAAATACGTCACTCAAAATAAATTCAGGCTTTTGTTTTTCCTGTATTTTAACTGTTATTTCAACTACCTTAATTGAGGAAGCCAATATTTTTTTTCTATGTCTTTTCAATAGTTTGCCTGTCTGAAATGACCTTCTGTCAAGCCTTAGGCAAGTCAGATGGTCAGGCGAGGAAAGGCTGAGACATTCTTTAGAAAGGTTTAATTTAAAGTTGCATAAACATTAATATTATTTCTGTGCAAAATTAAATTAGGATTTCATTAAGAACACATGAGCCATGGCATCATTAGACCTATTAGACATGGGTCAGCTGACCATTTAGATCAGCCCTCTCACAAATGCCCAAGTCTAAGTGTACATACAGGGCTTGGGGCTGTGTGTGTGTGTGTGTGTGTGTGTGTGTGTGTGTGTAAAACATCATAATCTTCTTGATTGGAAATGATATAGTTGACAGTGACCATTAGCTGAAAGTTTCAGGGACTCTCTTCTCACAGGTGTATTGTTCCACACAGACTTATCATCTTTTAAATTATGGTCAGATTTGGCAGTCCATAAGGATTCGTCTTTACTACAATTTTGTCTTTCTTCGTCTTTTGTACTCCCTTATCTATCTTGTTTTAACCTAATTTTCACTGAACATCGGTTATTTACTAGGCATTGTGCTATTGTTTTGCAAATGTTTTTCTCATTTAATTCCTTCAATAACTTTGAAAGTTGGATATTAACCCCATTTTGAAGGTAAGGAAGCTGAGTCTTAGAGAGGTCATCCAACTTGCCCAAGAGATCGATGGAATTTCTATCCCATCCACTGACTGCTCTTCCTTTGTATTATGGTGGCGCGTCACCAACAATAGTATTAATAATAGTTGTTGAACTTCTGGGTTCCATGTACTTGCTCTATGTCCTTTACATTTATTAAATCTTGTAACAGCCCTTTAAAGGAGAAACGATGTTAGCCTCATTTTACAGATGAGGGAGAGGAGGCGCAGAGGAGCAAGGTAACTTGCCCAATGCCCCAGAGCTATTTTAAGTGGGGCTGTCAGAACTCAAACAAGGCAGTTTGGCTCCAGACTCCTTCCTTATGATCATTGCTCTAAGCTGCCGGTCCTATCTTTTTTTTCTTTTTCCTAGCAGAACTGTAAGCTCTCTAATGATGGTTTCTAGTACCCCTCTCTGAAAACACATGAGAAATAAAATGGTATTTAAGAATTTTTTTTTAAAACAAAGGTCTTATTGGCATGATGAAATAACTATTAGAAAGCAGCTAATTAGGCATGACGGATATAATAATAGTACTGTGGGGTAATAGTCGTATTGTTTGAAGTCAGTTTTCCTATAAAGTCAGTGTTAAGACATGGACTAAAAATGGTCTGTAAGATGAGTATAAGAAGAAGTTTATATCAACACATAAGGTGATAAAAAGTTTGAAATATGACTCCCTAGAATGGAAAAAAATCAAATAATAGTTTAGATAGTTGGACAAAGAGTCTCTTTATCAGTAGTTATAATAAATACATATATTCAGCCAGTCAGTCAACAGAAATACATGAAGCAGCACTTAGGTGGCAGGCATTCGTTAGGGTATGTATTAGAATGTGTTCAATTTTTGCTGCAGTAGTGATCATGTCCCCAATGTCAGTGACTGGAGCATGAGTTTTTTTTTCCTGTCTCAAACATATGGCATGTTGTCATAGGGGACGGAGGGCAGGAGGCACCATTGTTCATATAGTCACTCGGGGGGAGCTGAATCGAGGCTCTGCTGTGTGGAATGTTGGTGGTCACTGGGGTAGAGGAAGAGAGAGAAGGGAGATCTCATTTCTTCTATGTTTGGGCCCAAAAATGGCACACATCACATCTGCTTACAGCCCAATATTAGAACTAGTGACATGACAAATGGAGGCATAACCTCAGTGTCCATTGAAGTAGGAGAACTAGATATTGACGAAGACCAGCGATGTCTACCATTCTTACATTAGTGAATAAAATAGCTGATATTCTAGTGAACCTTCCTTTATATTCTGTTAAACAACATTTTTAAAAATTTTAGAATAAAGCATGGTACTAAGTGTCTCCAGGTGAGATGCCTAAGACTCACCCACCCCAGTGCCTTTTAACTCATGATGCTTTGGACAGCTTAACATAATATGAGTTCCTGTTTTTATGTGTAACTAACAAATGAGATACATACTTACTTGAAAATGCTCTAAAATTGTTGGGGAACTCTTATTTTAAACATAATAAAGGTGTATCATGTCAAATCTTAGGATGAGGTTCAAAGTTGTTTGTTAAATTAATAATATTCACCACTAATAAAAATATACCCCTTTCACTATAAACTGAAACACTGATAATTTTTTCATTATAAAACAAATATTTTAAAGTCTACAGTGTTCAGAGGTCAAAAACTGAGTATATGCTAGTGAGTAAAAGTAACCATGATGGAGTTTGCAGTCTAGTGAAGGAGACAGACATTAATCAAGTAACCACACCAGCTATTATGAGTATTAAATGATGCACATGAGGTCCTTAGAACAACGTCAAGTGTATAGTAAGTGTTGAATAAATGTTAACTGCATTGTCATCATCCAAATATCCTTTTGACTAAAATGTAGAAAATGGATTAGAAGGAAAACAGAGGATTTAGGTAGACTTGTTAGAAGAATGTTCTAGTAGCTGGTATGAGAAAAATGAAGATATCTTAGACTAAGTGGAATGGTAGAGATGAATATGGGAAAATGAGTTCAATGTATATTTAGGAATAAAATTGACAAGACTTATCATCATTTGACAAGCTACATACCCTACTTATTTTGTTTATATTCTATCTCCAGCCACTAGAATGTAAACTTCATGAGAGCAAGAGTTTTTGTCTCTTGTTCATTGCTGTGTCCTAAGCTATAGTAACAGGGCCTGGTCCCCATTATTAAATGTTTAGTAAACATTTATAAATGAAGAAATGGATTGGGTGGGAGTGAGAGGGAGAAGATACAAGGATGACTCTCAAGTTCATGGTTTGTACAAGTGGGTGGCATATGGTTCTGTGTCTGAGACAAGGACCACGTCTTGCGGTTAAAGTCTTAGATTGTCTTTTGGACATAGTTTGAGACGCCTTTGAGACGTCCAGGAGGAGATGCCAAGGAAGCAACTAGATATAATTGACTTGAGCTCAGATGAGAGCTTTGGCTGGTATATATTTACAGATTGGTTATCACTGAAATGTCAGGTATGAGTGAGCTAAGAGAGTATAGAGTGAGAAGCAAAGAAGGCAAGAGCATAAGCTTTAAGGAATTTTATCATGAATTTCAAGGGAGGAGACAAAAAAGGGGCCAAGGTGCAGGTGGCACACCTGGGCAGTGATGCAATAAGAAATGCCTAGTTTAGGGAGGGCTCCCAGGAGGAGGATTGGTTAATATTGCATAGCTAAGTATCCTAAAGTTCATGGAACTATTTATACAGTGCAGTTTATTGGTACACTGTCAATCAAATATTGGAAATACGAAATCATTCACTAGCTCTCAGCGGTATTAAATGAATTCTGGTTACAGGACAGTGAAGGCATTTGAACTCAGAGAATAACTATATTAATTTTTCTGAACTATTACATTTAGAAGGAATAATGATCTCTTTAGGATACAAAGATGCTTTCTTTTTGTAGTCATAAGATTAGAATCTGCCTGTCTGGGTGGGTCCTTATGTGTATTCAACACAATTGTGTCTTGACAAGTAATCTCATTTATTTTATGGTGGGAAGGTCGAGGTAAGAGATGCTCCCATACAGGAATTCTCTGTAGATGGAAAGTAATGTTCAGGATATCCTTAGGTTTGATTATGATTAAATTTCCTTTTGAAGTGTAATGTTTCATTATTTAGCTTTCATTTGTCTCCTTCAGTTGGAAGTCTTACTATTGTATATTACTGATGTGCATTGTTTTGTAAATATTTGCACCTACTTTGAATATCTAATTTTACCTTGAATCATTATTTTGGACTAAAATTTATTTGGAGTTTCTTTTAATTTTCTTAAGATCTTTATTAACAAACAAAAATGAATGAGTATTTTAGCATTTTAGCCATTATAAAATAAGCTCTACTGATGCTACACATTTAACAGAACTTTAAAAATTCAGTGAAAAATATTTGCTGGCAAATCATGTGCTTACTTTTGGAAGCAATAATTTGCCTATTAAAAGTCTACATTAGTACACTTTTATGAGTGAGATTTATTCTGAGAAAGAATCATAGTGTGTTCTGCATATGGATGTGGCAAGTATTATTTTCCACAAGCCTCCCACAGAAGCATTTCAAATGCTCTCTTCGCATTTTGTGCAGCTCAGTGGCTGATAGTTTGAATGCAGTGAGTTCGCACTGCCAGCTACTGTGCCACTCTTCCTGAGTGTTGCTGTGTCTTGGAAGCGTGCTAATTCTCAACTCCAGGCTTTTCTGTGGGAAAGTGTTTTCATATGTGCACCATGGTTCTAAAAACTGCGTGTTTTCTCAGTGGAAAACTTAGGAACTCATTTGTTTTCCATTTGTTCCAACCCACCTAATAGTCAAGTATGTGCAGCTAAATCTGACCTGGGATTTTAGATGATAAAATCTTTGAGCACAGAATTGGTTACACTCAACACTTCTCCAATGCCCACGGAGGCTGATGTTTTACACTTGATGCTGTAAGTTTAGACGGAAGCCATGGGGAACCTCTAGTTCAGCGGTTCTCAACCTTTCACAGGGGTCGCCTAAGACCATCGGAAAACACATATTTTCGATGGTCTTAGGAACCGAGACACAGCTCCTCTATCTGTCTCCAGGCCCACATGCAGATACGCCCACATACCAGTACCTGGCGACCCCTGTGACAGGGTCGTTCGACCCCCAAAGGGGTCGCAACCCACAGGTTGAGAACCGCTGCAGAGTCTAGTTGAACCATAGAGAAGATAGTTTCCCCTGGTCAATCAAATTCTCACCTTGCCTCTGACCTTCCATGTATTTTTCTTACTGCTGTAAAACCTTGGCTTATGTAACGCTTCAAACTCACCCACCTAGACTTAAACCAAATCACCTGTTTAACACTCAATGTTTTTCCAGTGGTTTTTGGAGGGAAGAGAATAGAATCATGTGATCCAGTGGCTTGTGATTTGGGGAGAAGGCAGCTGTTGGGGAGCAAGTAGATAGAAGAGTCTTTATGCAAATTGTAGATGTATTTGGTTCTAGCCTAGACATCAGCACATCATTAAATTATAGAGGATATACTCAGCTTAATTAGATAATGAATTTCATAAGTTGAAAATATTTCAGTATCATTATTAAATGGTAGTTACAGATAATTCTCTTGGGCAGTCTTCTTTTTTAAGAGAATTATTTAAGCAAAAAGTCTTAAGTCAGCTTTTCAGCTCAAACTCTTCTAGTACATTAAAATTTTAGTCTTATTTATATGATAATGTAAGATCCTTCTGAGGACCACACACCTGCACTCCCAGAAAAAGACTGCTGTATAAAGATGCTGTGGATTGCTTTCAGTTTTAAAATCACTGAGTACCCTCTGATTCTTCCCATCACCCACCCCCAGCATATTTATAACATTAATAATAGGTCTGAAAGGATGAAAACCTTGAGAAACATAAGTTAAGAAATCTCTTTTGTTGTGGGTACTATTTTGTTTTATTAATCTTACTCACTTTTTCACAGTATTTTGTTTTTGCTTTTCAACTTTAGAAACGACATAAAGCTGACAATGCAGTGAACAAGAAACAGACACAAGGTAGGCATTTTACATTTTATTTCTCATCTCTGTGAAACACATTCATGCTAATATATACAAATCACTTCAATTAAATGTAATTCAATTGAAAATGCTATTTATCCCTGAGTTTTTGTTCCAAGACAGATTCTTGCTTTGTAGCATTTATTATCATGACACTTAAATTAGAATTAGAGTGATTTACAGTGGTAATACTTTTAAAAAGTAACATTTTTAATATATTAAGTACCTCATAGCAATGTGCTTGTAAGTACTGTCCATAAAATCTGCAGTGGTTTTGACAGTTAAATGCTGCAAAATGTCTTTATTTTGTTTGTGATCTGTAGATGTTACTCTAGAGAAGATTTATAGAAAATAATCAGATGTGATGTTTGTTGGGTAGAAGGCATATTGGAAGCACTTTGAGTTAGTTATAATGTACATGCAGATGTATGCTCCATAAATAAATAAAATTATTAAAAACCAGACCAGCTTCTTGGTAAGTGCACTGCATTTTGATACGGCTGTTTTGCTGTGGGTCTCATTTTGATGCAGCCGAAAACAAATGACCTTCATCAAGCAAATAGACCATTATACTCTCAGACTTTTAGAAATACCCAGAAACATGCAAAACAGACATCCTATCCCATCCCTGAACTTGTCCCATCTGAGAGTCTCATTTCTCTCTGAAGTTCCCTGATGTGAGGAGAATCAGACATGTCTGCCAAAATTAGTTGGTAATTAAAAACAGTATTTTTATACTCCTGTGATTTTTATGGGACTCTGTCAAATGCTCTACTTCTCTTCTCATCACCTTCCACCAAAGGGATTATCTGCTGATTTTTAATACATTTGAGGAAACTACATTCATTAAAGTGTCACCTAATACATGAGCAAAATACTTACTGAGATTATATTTCCTATGGGGACATATGAAAGAATATGAGATGAGAACTAAATAAAAGCACAAAGGAAGAGATGATTTTGTGTGGAAAATAATAGGGCTTGGATGGCATGATCTTAATATCTCTCTACATATTTGTGGCAAATAAAGGTTCCTATGTCAAATGCTATATGAATTCAAAAGAAGGAGAGAAAATTGTGGGGTGACTGGAGCTAGATCTTGAATTTGGGGAAAACTTTGAGTGAGCAGAGGCACATGGGGAAGACCTTCCATGTGAGTTGAGTGAGAAGGCGGGAGGAAAGGTTATTCTGATCAGAGGTGAAGAAGGCTGTTGGATTGCTTTGTTGAACCATCATTACAGCACCAGGTGAAGAAGGAGATTCCTACCCAGGGAAGCAAACTCAGGATGAGAAAGGTAGGCCAGGTCACATTTCACAGGCCTTGAATGAGAAGACAAGGGATTCCAGCTTTTCTTGTGTGCTCTGAGTAGCTGTTCACAGGCCAGAGACAGAATGAATGTACAGGTTAAAGACGGGGAGCAGAATGAATTGGAGTAGGAGGCTATTAGAAGTCTAGGCACAAAGCTACTCCAGGAAGGTGGAAAGGGACAACCACAGGAAGTGAGAGAAAAACCCAGGTGTTTTGGGGCAATATGTTTTTGCATTTGTTGCCATGTTGCTCAGAATGTTCAGTAACAGCTTTTGAACCAAAAACATGCCATGATTTTTCTGATACATAATGGATCTTGCAGCACAGGGCTCCTGCCCTCAGGGACGGGCAGTTATTTTCAAGCCTTGGCCCAAGAAGTCATTGTACAGTTAAAGAGCAGCTGTCATAGGTATGATGATTTTCGTTTACCACACCTTGAACTGATACGGTCTACAATTTTCCAGGTATTTACCTACTTTCAACAATACTCCCTTTTGTCTGCTATTCAGAGAAAATATTCTTTCTGGGTTCATCAGTTCGTTCTGGATTAACAGGATTAGCTCAATGGCTAAACATGAAGAATAGGCAAGTGAGAAGGCATGTTTTTTAGTAGCTGCATATGAAACTCATGTCAAAAACAAAAGATTAAAGCTATGGAAACCATTTTCATTAGCAAAATACTTGGTAATCCCATAGCTAAGAAAGTATGGCTTTCAGTTTGACACTTGAAATCATTTTCTAAGAGAAGATCTTTCTGTTTTTTTTCTTTGCCTAATTTGAGTATTGGTCATCTTTTTTATTTTGCAGTTATAGGAGATAACAGAAATGTTTGAAGGATACTGTTTGCTGTCAGATAATTCAAATTGCTTAATGCAAAAGCCATCTGCTGTCATTAGACCAGAATGAAATTCGGTTTGCTTTCCTGAGACAGGAGTGGGCGTACGAGTGGGAAGGGGGAATTTTTGACAGATAATTAATTTTTCGCAGACATTTGAAATATTAAGATTAAATTTTCAATTTCTAAATGTTTTCCAAGACCATGTCCTGTGTAAGAGGACACCCTTCCCTCAGATCAGTAATACCTCGGTTTGCGAGCATAATTCATTCCGGAAACAAACCACTCATATTGCAAGACATCACTTGTTTACTAAGTTAAAATATATTATTAGGTTGGTGCAAAAGTAATAGCTGTTTTTCCCATTACTCATAAACTGCTACCTCTTTTGCACCAACCTAATAGAAATGTCTGTTCGTCTTACAGAACATTCACAAACCGAGTTACTCGCATTCCAAGGTTTTACTATATTAACTCTTAGAGCATTCTTAGAGGAATGAATAATTTCTCTCCATATTTTGCATTAAGGCACTAGAGAGCGACGTTTTCCTCTGTCATTCCCTAACAACTTCCAAAAAACAAATTCATAATTTTACTTCCATCAGTTTTAATCATTTAACTGTAGACCGATACCTGTCTGATGCCTCATTTCCACCATTAATGAACTCAGTCAGTGATCATATTATGGATTGTGGACCTAACTCAGGACTTTATAAACTTTCCATTTTGAGCCTATCATCAACACTTGAAAACAAGCCATTTCTTCCCCTGGAGATATATCAGTCAGCTCGGTAGATGGTTCAGCAAGCTGGCCAATTCAAAATTTTCTATTATCCTCTGAGGACCTAGTTGCTGAGGGAGGGCAGAGTAAACAGATTGTCAGAAGCCCAGGAGTTGCTCCTGTGTTCTTTTGGTGTGACGGCATATGTGTATCAGGTAGGAACGCTGCACAGATCACGTCCACCCTCTTACTCAACTTTGTATTCCGCAGGGGCCTGTCCTTAGCAGGTGTTTTGTGTGTGCGTGGCAAATGAACAGGTGGATGAACCCCTCTCAGTATAGATACCTGAGTACAGATAATGATGGAAGAACAGACTAGACATGAAAGGAGTCTTCTTGAAAATTCATTTTCTGGGGTGTGCGCAAGATGAAAAGCAACATTTTCATAACACCACGTCCCAGACTGTTTCACAGGCCCTGATACAATACTAATGTGGCAGAAGTTCTTGCCACCTCTTTGCCTTCTCCGTCGAAGCCATCACGTCATCATTTTCCTCGGCTTTGCTTCCTGTGAACACAGTATTGTCTGTGTCCACTTATCAATTCCATTACCCAGAGCGCTGCCATATTCAGAATGCCTGAGTATCCTTGCATCTAAACTTACCTTCATTCTCTCTGATTTCTTCCCTCAATAGTTGAACTCACAGTATTTTATATACCTTGCTCCACATCTAACACACACTAGAGGCAGTCTCTCATTGTTTTCCCTAAACTGGGTTGTTCTGCCAAATTTAGCTCTGCGGGACTTTGTAAATGAAAAATTTGTAATTATATAATATATAAATTGAAGCCAATCCCTATATGAATTTGTTGTGGTGAGCTAGTTCTCTTTCTAAATTGTAAAAATGTGCTTTTCTATGAAATGCAATTATGGCTAGCCTGCCAGTATTTCAAGTGAAATAACAGTTTCACAGACAGTCACAATTTGGAGTCCTGAGGAAGGAGGGGGTTCAGGTAGAAACGAAGAAAGATATCTGGGAAAATTAAAAATGCCTCCTAATGGAATAGATTTTCTTTTTAAAAAATCCCAGGTTTGGATATATTCCCTGAAGGATGCTGTGTATACATTCTGCAGGTGAGAATGTATGCGCAATATGGGCTGTGACATCTGACTGACACACCTTGATCACTTGCTTTGATGCTATAGTTAAATAAGAGCCATCCTTACGACAGATTGTTTAATACCTTGTTTTATTATGATTAGTAGGCATTAGATGACAATAAGTTTTCACTTAATAAAGCAAATTTGCTCTGTTTTCATTTAATTTGGGAAATGACAACATGACATTCATTTAAACTAGGCATGTAGCTAAAAGTAACAGATCTCATCTCCACCTGCATGTGTCTTCCCCGGAGCTGCATCAGCCTTTTAAGAAGTGAATTTCATTGCTGGTGGCTGGTGGCCGCTAACAGGGCTACTTCCCCGTAGGGCACATAGTTGCTTTTCTCCCCCTGGAAACCATTTCACCTTTAAAGTCGGTAGTGGAAAAGATGTTACATTGGTGTGGGTGGAATGTTTTTGCTCACTAAGCCTGACATGACCTGCTAACAGGGTTGAGTCCACTGATTCCGTTCAGTCCAACACTGTACAAAGCGGCCATTATGATAAGGGCCTTGAAATAGCACCACGTCCCTGGCTTATTGAAAAAGCACGTGTGCTGCCCTTTGTCCCCCCCAAAGTATCGCCACCTCTGATCCATCCAGCGGTCCTGAACATAGGCTGTGACATGGACAGCAACTGAATTGTGAATAGTCCTTAAAGAGTATTGTTCCCATGATCTTAAAAGTTGGCCTTAAAAACTGAGCATGTTTATGACCTAACTAATTTCAGACACCTGTAAGAGTGTTAATATTTTCAAATTATTACAAAGATTTTAGGATTCTAGAAGCTGAACTGATTTGATATTTTCCACAATAGCTGTGGATGGAGTTTATTTGGGGGAAAATATACCCTCAGGTTGTCCTTCATGGGTCCTATGAATAGAAGTTGCACACAGAGGAGCAAAATCCACTGAGGAAGTGTAGGGACATAAAGTGAGAAAGGAAACACAGATGTGATTCAAAGTTAGAATG